ATAAATGTATGGAAGAGGGTAAGGTACCTAGGGATTGGCAGAGAGCATGCATAGTTCCTTTGTATAAAGGCAAAGGGGATAAAAGAGAGTGCAAAAATTATAGGGGGATAAGTCTGTTGAGTGTACCTGGTAAAGTGTATGGTAGAGTTATAATTGAAAGAATTAAGAGTAAGACGGAGAATAGGATAGCAGATGAACAAGGAGGCTTTAGGAAAGGTAGGGGGGGTGTGGACCAGGTGTTTACGTGAAACATATAAGTGAACAGTATTTAGATAAGGCTAAAGAGGTCTTTGTGGCATTTATGGATTTGGAAAAGGCGTATGACAGGGTGGATAGGGGGCAATGTGGCAGATGTTGCAGGTGTATGGTGTAGGAGGTAGGTTACTGAAAGCAGTGAAGAGTTTTTACGAGGTAGTGAGGCTCAAGTTAGAGTATGTAGGAAAGAGGGAAATTTTTTCCCAGTAAAAGTAGGCCTTAGACAAGGATGTGTGATGTCACTGTGGTTGTTTAATATATTTATAGATGGGGTTGTAAGAGAAGTAAATGCGAGGGTCTTGGCAAGAGGCGTGGAGTTAAAAGATAAAGAATCACACACAAAGTGGGAGTTGTCACAGCTGCTCTTTGCTGATGACACTGTGCTCTTGGGAGATTCTGAAGAGAAGTTGCAGAGATTGGTGGATGAATTTGGTAGGGTGTGCAAAAGAAGAAAATTAAAGGTGAATACAGGAAAGAGTAAGGTTATGAGGATAACAAAAAGATTAGGTGATGAAAGATTGAATATCAGATTGGAGGGAGAGAGTATGGAGGAGGTGAACGTATTCAGATATTTGGGAGTGGACGTGTCAGCGGATGGGTCTATGAAAGATGAGGTGAATCATAGAATTGATGAGGGAAAAAAGAGTGAGTGGTGCACTTAGGAGTCTGTGGAGACAAAGAACTTTGTCCTTGGAGGCAAAGAGGGGAATGTATGAGAGTATAGTTTTACCAACGCTCTTATATGGGTGTGAAGCGTGGGTGATGAATGTTGCAGCGAGGAGAAGGCTGGAGGCAGTGGAGATGTCATGTCTGAGGGCAATGTGTGGTGTGATATAATGCAGAGAATTCGTAGTTTGGAAGTTAGGAGGAGGTGCGGGATTACCAAAACTGTTGTCCAGAGGGCTGAGGAAGGGTTGTTGAGGTGGTTCGGACATGTAGAGAGAATGGAGCGAAACAGAATGACTTCAAGAGTGTATCAGTCTGTAGTGGAAGGAAGGCGGGGTAGGGGTCGGCCTAGGAAGGGTTGGAGGGAGGGGGGTAAAGGAGGTTTTGTGTGCGAGGGGCTTGGACTTCCAGCAGGCATGCGTGAGCGTGTTTGATAGGAGTGAATGGAGACAAATGGTTTTTAATACTTGACGTGCTGTTGGAGTGTGAGCAAAGTAACATTTATGAAGGGATTCAGGGAAACCGGCAGGCCGGACTTGAGTCCTGGAGATGGGAAGTACAGTGCCTGCACTCTGAAGGAGGGGTGTTAATGTTGCAGTTTAAAAACTGTAGTGTAAAGCACCCTTCTGGCAAGACAGTGATGGAGTGAATGATGGTGAAAGTTTTTCTTTTTCGGGCCACCCTGCCTTGGTGGGAATCGGCCGGTGTGATAATAAAAAAAAATAAAATAATAATAACAATAATAATCACTCCAAGGAGCATTAAATATCGTATAAAACGTTAATATCGACATTTTGCTTAATCCATCTAAATACACTCCACAGTAGAATAAATTAACATAAATATGAGATGTGGTAGGCAGGTGACTTGTAGGACTTGTGGTAGCCAGGTGACTTGTGGTAGCGTTCGTCTGGTTTGTTTACATTATGTATGAGTTGGGTGGGGTGGGGAGGGCTGCCCTTCCTAGCTACCCATACTTCCCAACCTGACTCCATACAAATAAAACTCACCTCTCACCCTACATTAAGACTACAAATATTTTAAGGTAATTAATGAGTGTACTATATGTGCATTTAATCGCTCTAGGAAGCTTAATGTCGTAGGTATAAGTGGCCAGGCAGGATGCCATACCTCCCACACAACTTTCTACAAATAAGTACTTCTCACCTCTCACCCTACATTAAGACCATTAAGACTACAAGTATTTTAAGGTAAGTAATGCATGTCCTGTATGTGCATTTTATCGCTCTAGGAAGCTTTAAGCATCGTGGTATAGTATGTGTGGGTGGGGTGGCCAGGAGGGCTACCACACCTGACTTAGAGTAAATACTAGTTACCTTTTGCCCTACATTAAGACTACAAATATTTTGAGGTAAATAATGAGTGTACTGTGTGTGTATTTTACTTTTTAATGCCTAGTTCTATTGCTAACTGAATATTTTTTTTTTTTTTTTCAACAAGTCGCTCGTCTCCCACTTGTTATCTGGCATTTATATGCATTTATAAACAGAAAAAATGGAGTTCTGCTTTCCGGCAAAGTCTGCTTTCCGGCAGTAGCCTGGAACCCAACCTGCCGAATAGGTGGGGCCCTACTGTATTGATTGTAGTATTTTTCTGTATCACAATGAATGCTTTCCTATGCAGGAAGGAAGCCAGGCAGAGCTCAGCTGTTTTCTTTCAACAAACCGGCCGTATCTCACTGAGGCAGGGTGACCCAAAAAGAAAAACACAAGTTCTTATTATATTTAGTAATGTATACAGAAGGGGTTACTAGCCCTTTGCTCCTGGCATTTTAGTCACCTCTTATGATATGCATGGCTTATGGAGGAGGAATTCTTTTCTGCTTCCCCACGGAGTTAAGAGGAAATAAAGAAGAACATGAACTATTAAGAAAATAGAAGAAAACCTCAGGTGGGTGTGTATATACGTATATATATGTTTGTACATGCATGTGTAGTGTGACCTAAGTGTAAGTAGAAGTAGCAGGATATATGTACCTGTTATCCCATGTGTTTATGAGACAAAAAAAAGACACCAGCAATCCTGCCATCATGTAAAACAATTACAGGTTTCCGGTTCACATTCACTTAGCAAGACAGTAGTACCTCCCTGGGTATTGCAAAAGACCAACCTATCTAAATCTTGCAACTTATGGAATACTATTGTTTAACATTCCGTCCGTCTTGCACTGAGGTAGGGTTACCCCCCCCCCCCCCAAAAAAAAAAAAAAAAAAAAAAGGAAAACAGTCAGTTATTCTCTCATTTGCTGTCTTACCAGACACCAACTGAGTGATATCATAGTTCAAGTGACCCTCTGAATTGCAGCATCCTCACTCCTCTTCTAGAGTGAAATTAATGAACTTCCTATCTCCAGGACTCCAGTCTGGCTAACCAGTTTCCCTGAAGCTCATATTCCAACAGCAAGTAATAAAAAACTATTTGTCTCCACTCTGATCTAGTTCATTTGCAAGCTTCTTTGATGCTCACTTCCCTAATACTCAAAATCTTTACTCCCTCTTTCCAGCCCTTCCTGGGATGACCCATAGCCCTCCATTCCATCCCAGATTTATATACACCCTCTTTGGCATCTTATTCTGTTCCATACTCTCTCAGCCCTCTTAAACTATACATATTTGATTATGTCATATGGAAATTTTGAAATCATGATATGATGCAGTAAAAGTTAAGAACAAGTGGAGAACAATGATCCTTGCATATAAATCACCATCAGGTTGGCAGTGTGGCAGAGGAATTCATGAAACAAAGATAGCTAGCTGCCTGGAAAGTCCTACACTAAATATTATCTTCCTTGGAGATTTCAGCCTCACAAATGTCGAATGAAAGAGGATAGATAACATTGTACCTGAAATAATCCAGTCTTGACACTTCAGATCACCTGTACACTCTTCTTACAAATATTGTTCAGTATTTTAGGCTCCATGTAAGGCAGGAGAGAGATGTAAGAGCTGGAGAAGGTGCAGAGATTGTTTACTGTTCACATAGAGCTAATAAAGCATCTAAACTACTGGGAACACCTCAGAGTCCCAAATCTACACATTACCATAAAAACATGTTGGAGTTAGAGAAATGGGAAGAAGTGTAAAATGGACCTAGTGAAAAGTAGGGACTTATTTTTTTTTTTTGGCACAACAAGAAAATACTTTTGTCAACGTATGTGATCTAAAAGTGCTCAGTCTGCTGCCAGCAAATAGGAGAAAAATTTCCAGAACAGCTTTAGTAGTTTTCAAGAAACTGGATCACTACCTCAGAGGAGTGCCAGATCAAACAGGGTGTGATGAGTATGTGACCAGTAGGCAGCCAATAGCAACAGTCTGACTAAACATGCAATAAACATAAAAGCCTGACTCTTGACTGGGCTGTGAGGGTAGAATAACTTTCAAAGCAAGCCAGGGGTATATACCTCTCACTAGCTATCAGTTTCTTTAATTCATTCATTTTCATTTCTCATTTCTTTTACTAACATTGTTCTTATAATATTTTAATGTCTTCTTATTCTGTCTGCCACTAAGTGATCCAAAATAACTGTTACTCTTTTTGAGAACATATGTACATAATAATTTTTTTTCCTCAACAAATTAGCCATATCCCACCAAGGCAGGGTGACCTAAAAAAGAAAAACCAGCGTTTTTTGTTTTAATTTAGCAATTTATACAGGAGAAGTGGGTTACTAGCCTTTCACTCCTGGCGTTTTAGTCACCTATTACGACATGCATGGTTTATGGAGGAAGAATTCTTTTCCACTTCCCATGGAGGAAATAAAGAACAAGAACTATTAAAAAATAAAAGAAAACTCAGATGGGTATGTAAATATATATGCATGTACATGCATGTGTAGTGTGACCTAAGTGTAAGTAGAAGTAGCAAGATATACCTGTTTATGAGACAGAAAAAAGACACCAACAATCCTACCATCATGTAAAACAATTACAGGTTTCCAGTTCACACTCACTTGGCAGGATGGTAGTATCTCCCTGGGTAGTTGCTGTCTATCAACCTACTACCTAATATTCATATCACCATAATATTTATGCATTTATATTCAATGACTTTCTCACCAGATTGTAAATGAGGCAGCAAAATATCGGTACAGATCAGGCAACTTATTCGACTGTGGAAATTTGACATTCCGAGCTCCCTGTGGTGCAGTGGGTCATGGTGCTCTATATCATTCACAGTCACCAGAAGCATATTTTGCCCACACTCCAGGCCTTAAGGTAAAACTATGAAAGTTTTCTTTTTCTTTTTTTTTTTCATCCTGCATTTCTTTTCTCATACTAGTAGGTGTTTTCCTAAGTAGTCCTTGAATGGTTTGGCTATTATTTCAATAGTTAAATGTCTTGGAAATTCACCTTGAACACTTTTCCCATGTTGTAGCATTACAGTATTTATAGTTATTGCTCAGATCACCAGCAAAGCAAGGCACTCATGTTTGCACTGAATGTGGCTAAATTTCTTAGTCATATTTATGCAATTAAATATAATAAACCCTCTGTTTAATGGACTTGGGGAAATGCAGAACAAAATCTGCTGGCTCAGTTGACTGGAAAACAACCAACAAACTCCATTGGTTACTGAATTGTACATTATTGTTATGATCACAGTAAAATTATCTCATATCCATCCACTACAATTGCCATTACTGGCTACCTGTTCTTCCCTCTTATATTGTTAAATCAAGGGTTTATACTATTGGAAGATGAAAAATGTAGTGGCTGAGAAAAAGAAAATGAATATTAAGACTTGTAAGCCTCTTCAAGGGGGGCTCCTTGGCGTGGTGAAGAGGCTCTTGGTCTGAGGAATTAGACCTGTCAGTCTACTTCCTCAGACCGAACCTAATTACCCCCCAATCCCCCGTTCCCTATCCCATCGTCCCCTTTTTCCTTTCCTCCTCCTCCCCACCCCTCCCTTTTGCCCTTCCTTTTTGGCTTTTTTTTTTTTTTTTTTTTTTTTCCCCCACAGGCACGCTAGTTCCTAGGTAGGGGAAAGGGTACCGGGGTCCATCCTATTCCGTTGAGGTTCTTGGCGGTGGCGTAGTTTGCCGTGGAATCTGGATTGCCTGGGATGTCCTGAACCCATTCTCTTTTGCTGATGTACGTCTATGTCATCTTCACCTAATCTTGACACCCTCAACACCATTGTGGAATGAGGAGTGATTAAAATATCGACTTGGATGAAAGGCCATAAACTTACACTTAACACTGACAAAACCTACTATGTTTGTTTGGTAGCAGAGCAGGGAGATGCACAAATTAACATTAAGATTGACAAACACTCTAATTACCAGAAATAATGGGGTGCAAATCCTGGCTTTACCTTGACAACAACCTGAATTTCAAGCACCCATATCCAGCATATGTGAACCAACAAAAGTATCCAAAACGGGTTTGGAATCCTCTCCAAGATACGGATACTACGTGCCGCAATATGCCTTGCTCACACTGAATACCCACTCACTTATTTATCCCTACCTCACCTTTGCTATGGTGCTGGGGATCAATGCAGCAACTCACCTAAAGCCAATAATAACCCACAAAAAGCATGCAAGTATGAATAATCACTAAATCTCATCCCTGGCAACACACCCCCCATCTTCATAGCCTAAACTTACTCCAGTTCAGTACATCCACACTTTCTACTGTGCAAATCTACTCTACAGGGCCGTAACTCTATATAACCTTGACCTAAAAACGCTTTCTGGAATAATTGTGACAGAACCCACAGGCATAACACCAGACACAAAACATCTCTATGACATTCCCCGTGTCCGACCTAAACCGTTACAAAATTCAATGTATGTCAAAGGTATTAACTTATAAATCTGATTACTACCTGAGAACTCTAGAACTGCAGACACTTATCACCTCAAACTACCATTAGAAAACATATTATCTCCCTGATACACCCCGTCAAACTAACTACACGGATTACCACCTGGTGTGTTCACACTTACACTCACTCACTCATTTGACCAGGAACAGAAATATTAATCTAAATCTTAAAATAATATAATTCCTGAGATACTCCAATACTGAAAATATGTACTGTGCCAAAAACCAAAAGCATTCACATTGCTAAACTCACAAACTAGTATTTAGTAGCCATTAATACCAACTTACCTCATTTTGTAATAATTTTACAATTATGAATAATACTAAGTCGACCCGAAATGCCTAGCCTGCTAGCGTTCTTGTGGTTCACTCTGTAATCACATAATTTTAGATACATGTAAAACCACACATTAACCAAATTTCTGTAAATCAGCATTGTTAATCCTTTAGGAATAAACATTTGAATGGAATCATTTTATGTTTTTCCCATAAGCTCAGAGACCCTTGGTCATGAGGGATAGAGTGCATCGAATTTCCTTAGATAGAGAGCTGGGGAAATGACTAATCAGGTAACTAGGGATCCCAGGGCAGCTAGTTTTCTGTTTTTCCATGCGCCTTCAGTGCGGCTGTTCAAAAGGGGTTATGCCTCGTACATTTTGGGCACACGCCCAGCTAGAGGAGCTGGAATGAAGCATTTTCGCCTTTAATAGGTGATACACACGTAACAAATGTACATTTATGCCACCTTTATATTAACAATGTTATTCTTAAATCTTCTTGCCAATATTTATTTAATAAAATATTCTATTGGTAAAAAAATAGTTTAAAGATGGGGTGGTAGGGGGTAGTGGAATATTCAAAACGCTTCAGGTGTAATCCAAATTTCCTCCTTGGAGCCTTTTTATCCACTTCTTCCGAGTATGGGTCCCACAATTTGCACCAGAGGTGGACCCATCCTATATAAAAAAAAATATATATATAAATATTTATTATATAAATTTATTTTTTTAATATATATATATAATATATTATATATATATTATATTTAAATATATATATAAATATATATTTAAATTTTATAAAATATATATATAGTATACTGTCGTGCCGAATATGTAAAACTGGGTCATCGATACAATGCTTAAAACCTTCTGGGTAGGGTAGGTGCCTGAAGCAGAGCCTTTAGCTCATAAGACTGTCATTGCCATTTGCCCCCTTGGGGCGGGGTGGCATGACCAGAGAGGCCTAGCTTGTGGCTAGGCCTGGGGTCAGTTGGTACCCAAAGATGTGGAGGTACTTGTGCCTCCTCCCATGGGGAGACTTAAAGGTCTCAGACACTCCCTAAAGAGGAGCCAATGGCCGGGCCACCACTTGGAAAAGGGCGGGCCGGGGAGAATCCGCCGAATCTTTAAATAAAAAATAATAATAATAAAAACTGGTCTATTAGCAATAAATCATTTTAATTTAAGTCCTTTCTGAAATTTTCTCTTATACGTTTAAAGATATATTTTTTCATTAATGATATGTAAAAAATTTGAATTTTTTGCAACAAATGAATCTAGAAAACATTACCTAACTTATTTATAAACAAGCGCATTTATTTTTACCTAACCCAACTAAATATATTTTAGATTTGTTTACTATAAGTTAATTACTAAACAATCGACAGTGAAATTTATTTTTTTCGTTAGAGTTCAGAATGATTTTGGCGAAATTATTGCTTACAACAAATTTTCGCTTGTTCTATATGACAAGATGGAGCGTTGCTATTTAAGCCAGATCGCAAGTCTGGCCTTTTCGGCACGACATTTTATTTATATAATATATTTTAAAATTTTTTATATTTATATATATATATATATTTATATAGATTTATATATCTATATTATATTATAGGGAGTGAGTATTAATACGAGTACGTCGCCAGAAGCCACACATTAACCAGATAAACTGACTGCAGCATCATGGGCTGCCGGTAAACCCGAGATCATAGCATTCCACGGTTACCTCGGTAAGGAATCGTTATGACTAAGACACAGTGTACGTCAGGCCATACTGGAGTACGCCAGCATCAGTTTGGAACCACACATGGGTCAAACACGTTAAGAAATTAGAGAAAGTGCAAAGGGTTTTGCAACAAGGCAGGTTCAGAGCTAAGGACCTAAGGGAGAATGTCCTACGAGAGAGGCTTAAGGAAAATCGGCCTGACGCACTGGTGGAGGGAGGGTCAGGGGAGACATGATATACGACATACAAATCTGTGTGGAATGACAAGTGTGGACAGATATGGACACAGAAAAAAGGGGTCACAATGGAAGCTGAAGGATCGATGAGTCAAATGGGCTGGTTAGGAAAGTATTTATTCAGCCACAGAGTTGTTAGGAAGTGGTATTAGTCTGGAAAGCGATGTAGTGCGAGGCAGGAACCATACATTGTTTTAAGACGTGGTATGATAAAACTCATGGAGCAGGGAGAGGGAGGACTCAGTAGCGGTCATTGAAGTGGCTCGGGGCCAGGAGTGAGTTTACGACTCCTGCAACCTTAATTAGGTTGGTACATTACAAATAAATTTACAATACCTCGTGTTGGGGGGAGGAACCCGGACTGTGAAACGGGAAAAAAATGAAAACTGGGCGTATCATTGTAGCTTTTGTATTTCCTGCTGCCACCTTTCTTCCAAAACGTTTCACGAAGTACGTACTAATTTTTTCCGTTTATTTGATACCTTTCAATGGGTGATGTAAAAGTTAATTTAGAGGACAACTCACTTTGAAAGATTTCATTACATAATGTATAAAACCCATTCTGTGATGCGTTTTTGATAAAATTAATACTCTTGATCTAAACCATGTAAAAGCCACAGGGATTAGGAAAATAGAACAGTTATATGGTTTATTGTAAGCAACTGTTCATGAGAATTGGTATACACGTTATACAAATATACATAAATATATATTATTTAGATGGCAAGAAGTATGTTGATATAACTAAGAAGTTATTATAGTGTGGAGATGTAAGAAGTAGGTTGATATAACTAATTAGTTATTACTGTGTGGAGATGGTAAGAAGTATGTTGATATAACTAATTAGTTATTACTGTATGGAGATGGTAAGAAGCATGCTGATATAACTAAGAAGCTATTATAGTGTGGATGCATGAGTCTGGAATGAGACATCAGAACAACAGCAACTGATGCTGAGGCTTGTGGCTTTGTTGTCCTTGAGAAAGTATAGCCAGTAAGTTATATTTGCAATATATATTCTCCACGTACGTGTTACGCAAATTATTTAATATCCTTTGAAGTTGTTATACTGTTTCAGCAAAATTAATAATGGATATCAAGCATTGCAGTTCCCCAATGCGCTAAACTAAGTTCTAAAGTAATTGGTAAGTGGCA